ATTAAAGGACTCTGAACTCACATTCGTCTGGGGCCCCAACAGTTAATCCTAAACAGCATGTGGGCTCTTGCAGCCCATTGCACACAGGAAATTGCACTCTTAAAAAAAAGGAAAACTAGAAGCCAATGAGTTGGCTGCATGACCTATTCTGGAGATAGGCCAACACATCTTTCTACTAGGACTGGTTGCGATGATATGCACAGCCTCTGAGTCACAGTTGTGTGCAGGACTCCTGGGCGTGTAGCTCTCAGTGCCAATGACCACCCAATATCGGATCAGAAAAGGTGCTTCACAAGAAAGCCATCAAAGATAAAGGAGGTTCTGCAGGAATTTCAAATAAAACATAATCTCTCAAGTAGTGGAAACTCCTCTCAAGTTATCTCAGGGCTCCTTAAACCCTCCAACCCGAAATGTACATACTCACCATCAGCCCTGTACTACCACTGTCCACCTTCTCTTCTAGGACCCTGTGAACTCTGTATTGACCTGACAGACCTTGAAAATAACTACTATTTTGCCAAGTATGCGTCATTCAGAGTTTTAGGAGAGTCTGAGAAATATTGGTTCTAAGAGACTTCCTTGGTGTCAATGCCAGTCAGTTAGCAGCAGCTCACTGGGAAAGGCTGTTTTCTAGAACATTTCAGAAGTCTTCATTTATAGTGCAGAGCTGTATCATGCAAACTCCTTGTACCATCTACATTTTGGGTCATTTTTTTAAAACTAGACATGGCACTCCAGGTGCCGAGCGACCTCTGGGTGCAGGGAAGGACAGGGACACCCATCACCCACAAGGCCTGGCATTTCCAGGGCTGGGGTGCTGGTCAATACTTGCAGCATCAGCACTGCATCCTCTTAATGCTTGATGTTTTGTGTTTTTTTTTTTTTTTTTTTATAAAGCAAACAATTCCTCTGCAAAATTCAATACCCCTCATGCAGGAATGAGTGAAACCAACACCTGACATAGCAGTGCTCTGGGTTTATGTGGCTTTGTACACTGCAACTCTGTGTGATAGTCCATACCTTAGTAGGTCTGCAGAGAATCTGAGTGGTGCAAGAAAAATGACACTATGTAACTGTGAGGAGAACCTGGTCCATTTGATTCACAGGCATAGGTAAGTTCTCCACCTGTTTTAGCAATCCTGGCAGAGCTCAGGATACTCCTTTTCTCCAGGACTAAGGAGGAAACCTGAGAAACCAAGAGAATAGCAGGATTTATAAAATCTGACTTGCATCCAGCAAGGCCCAACAATGCCCTGCAGTGGTGCACATTAGGTTCCCTTTTGTGCTCTCTATTGCAGTAACTGTGAACAAGTATGCTCTGTAGGAGACTCCTTATCATACCATAAAGACATGCCATTTTCAACAGACCAAGACAACAACATGAGCTCCTTTAACTGTGCCACAGAATACAAGGGAGGGTGGTGGTACAATGGCTGCCACTACTCCAACCTGAATGGGATGTACAGGGTGGGCATTCCCAGGACATATGCTGATGGCATAAACTGGAAGATGGGCAAAGAATACCACTACTCCCATAAGTGAACAGAAATTAAATTCATGCCAGTTTAACATGGCAAGAGGGTGCCTGACTAGCACCGACAAGTGCCACTCAACAGCTGTGAGAAGACACAAAACATAAGGTTATTTGAAGGCAAAATTGGACCAGGAAGCATATCACAAGTTGTGCCTTCAACCTAGAGCAGACTTTTAGAGACCAGAAGAGATCAGTGCTGGTTTGAGCTCCTGTAAGCATGAGACTCTCACCTTGGGCTATCTCTAGCAGCCCCACAGATGCCAAAGCACCTTTTTCTGAAAAGTGCATTATCTTGATTTAAAGACCAAGTGAGGTGAGGCTACTGCATCTCAGTAAAGCTATCAGATATTATTACCCTAAATGGTAATTACTGGCATTTTTCCAGTCTAATCGACATCTATGAAGCCTCCAGTGTCCTTGCAGCCTCTTTTCTGTTGGACCCAAGAGCCATCTGAAAGGCACTTAATTCCTGACCCCCGCTATCTCCCTGCAGGCTGTGATGGAGGCACAATGTAGATCAGCATGGAAAGGACTGAGCTTCCAGCACAGGGCTGTCAGCACTGCTACCTCCCTCCTTCCCTCCCCACTGCCTCGCACAACATATACTCCAGGACCTCAGGTGGGACCTCGGCTCCTGGAACCACAGTAACATTTCCCAGCCTTTCATACCACAACAGAGCTGCAGCTAGGCCCAGAGCCAGTTTCAGTGACTCCTCCAGGACATCTCATTGTTTAGCTGCTGCAGACCAAGAGCTGGATACAAAACAGTCTGTCCAGCAACATGTGTGGTACCAAGACACTACAGGAGTCCCAAGTCAAGCTTTCCACAAGAGGACATCATGTAAAACACTAGCAGGTGCCGGTATCTTCCATTTCACCTTGTTTCCAGGAGCATTTGAAGATAGGCTAGCTGCTGGTAGATGGAGGTAGTTGGCAAATGCCCTTTAAGGGTCTCCTTCCTGGACTTCTCCTCCCCACAGATGGTAGAGGGGAGGAGAGCCTTGCACTAACTCCTCACTGCAAGGACAGACTAGAGTCAGTGGAAGCAAAGTATTTATTTGTGTTATGCTCCTCATGGTCCCAGGTTTATCACACTACTTTTTGCACAGATTGTGTAGCAAGGGCAGCTCCAGCCCTACAACACTGTCTCCAAACCTTGTGGGTGAGAAAAACAAAGCAGCCACTCACCCAGCACAATGCAGCAGGTCAACAATGTGCTAAGAAATAAACCCGAGGGTTTGCATCTCCATGTTCACTTGGTCCTGTCATTGCTCAATTCTCCTTTTCGGGTATATGAGAAAGTGTGTGTCTGAGCAGAGGAGAACACACTGAAAGTTTCAGTCACTTCCCCATCTCCAGGAGCTGTTTTGTTTTTCTCCTACTCCCGGTCAGATTGACATGCCCTCAGCAAGAGCAGGAGGAAGGTCCCACAGCATCCAGTTGTGTCTCACCCAATCAGCCAGTGATACTCTTGCTGATAAGTAACTTCTCAGAGGCCCAAGGTGCTGTCACAGACAACTCTGCAGAACCACAGACTCACCTGCAGAGACATATGAGCTGGTGAGGACATCCTCAGCTTTAACCTAGCTAAAAGCACTGAATCCCCTTTCCCTGTTCCCCTCTATCTTCTCTTACTACACAGAAACCTTCAACATTTAAATTCATCTGTAAAGGACACTGATGTTAGGGGAATTAAGAGAAAACCAGGAACAGTTCCCAGACCACCACAATTTCATAGCAGAAATATTCAGGTATGACAAGCCATCACCAGTGCTAAGTGAGGTGGTTTGGACCTGGCTGCAGAGTGAAATTCTCCTGTGTCCTGAAAGCTGGTGCAGTAGGCCATGGGCTGGAAGTGCATCCCCTCCAGCATGAGGCCAAATCATTTCAAGGCAGGAAAATGTTCCCTGTGCTGATACAAGCACATAAGGGAGAGGGCCCTTGGGCCTGATGGTCCATCCCAGGAACCATGCCTGCAGGAGTCACAGAGAAGGCTTGCACTGACTCCAGCCAGAAGAATCGAACCACTAAGGTCATTACCCAGTTCCCTAGATATACATACATACGACCAGCCCAGAGCTCCCCCCTTTCCTCAGCAGAAGGGTTCCCACTCCTCCATCAGCTCTCACACCTGACCAGTGGGGGAAGACACAGGGAACAGACTTGAGAGGTCCCAAAGGAATATGCTCCCCAAACTGTCAGGATACCATCCCACCCCTCTTGCTGACCATCCTCTTGCCAAGGGTCCCCAGAAGAAAAGCAGAATAACCCCAGTCAATCTGTGACTGATCCTGGCCACAGCTCATCTCAGGGCTTCTTCTCTGTGTCCTGGAAAACTCATGGATTGGGTTCGCAGTTTGAGTTTAAAAACCTCTTCTGCTCATTAGTGGATCTGGAAAGGGCGAACGCTGAAGCCTAGAAATTATAATGTCCCTAGAGCTTCTCCACACATTTGCCTTGCTGCAAATAATGACAAGTGAAGCTGGGGGAGTAACCAGAGAAGCAGGGTGGGCCAGGTTATGGGGTACAGGGACAGCACCTGTTTTCTGCCGTATCAGGGAACCGGACACATAAGAGGCTAGAAGCATCTCTGAAGGCTTGTTGATGCACAGTCATTTGAAAGCAAAAGCGGGGCAAAACCAGTCCTCGCAGGTCCCACCCAGGCCAGCCTCCTGGCCAGATCAAGGCTGCCTCCAGTGATACCCTCCTGTGTTGTCTGAGACGTGGGAGGACCCAGAAGTCCAAACCACCCATGGGATTACTGCCAGCCTCCAAGGGCTGCATAGAGCCTCCTTCCAGGGAAGAACACAGCACTTTGGCCGTGTGCAAGTGCCCTGAGATTTCACAGCTGTACATCTGAAAGCTAATTGACTTCAAGAAACTGGACTTCAGAAGGAAAGGTCTTCTTCCTACCTAACACTGATGACTATCATGTGAGGAGCTCAGGGAACTGAGATTCAGTGCTGCTCTACGGTTTGTGTTTGGTCCTGGCATTGGTCTTCTGATTTTCCAAGGCGTTCTTGTGAGAGGTCTGTATCTGAAGAGTAACTAATGCCATGTATAAGTCAGCATAAAACAAGCTGCAGCTGGGAAAGGGAAATCAAAATCATTCCACCGTGGTTTGGTCCTTTTGACTTATGGGCTGCCGGGTGGAAAAGATTAATCCAACACCCTCTGCACTATGACTGTGATGCTGCTGCTACCTTGTGCCCCCCCAACCAAAGTGAAGGGGTGACTTAAGATACCAGCTGAACCTGCCACAAATCAAGGGCACAGGGGGAGAAATGGACTCAAAATACCACTCTCTCATGGGTAATACTCTTCTGTAAATTACTTCTAACAAAAAGGTTTATTATGCCAGCTATGCTGCTAGAGCATGGAGCTGTTTGGTGCCTATGCTTGGAAACGTGGCATTTCAGCAGCACCACTCAGCAGACCAAGGATGATGAAACACAGCAGCCAGGGCTGATGTGGAAAAGAACCACTAGACTTTATTTCCAATGGCATTTATAAAAACAAATGAAGACACAGTGGATAATGCAGGAAAGCATGGTCTGTGGGGTGCAGCATGGTCAGGTCCATGCCATTGGCACCTGCAGAGCAAGGGGCCAACAGAGGGAAGAGGAGGAGGCAGCGCCTGGTTGGGTCCAGCAAAGGCAAGCCTGCTGTGCCACCCAGACCCTCTACCCACCATTGCAGTTGCTTTAATTCAGTGCCAGGACTCTGAGACATGAAATTCAACTACAGACAGGGACTTAGTGTCATACTGGCATGGGAAAGCCAGGTCCTGTGCTCCCAGCACAGGAGCTCATACCTGGAGGGCATCTCGGTTTTCCATGCTCACCTCTCCCTCCAGCTCTCACCAGTGAAGAGAAACTCTTGGTCCACGAGATGCACCAGCCAACTTCCCAGATCACCTGTGTTCTCTGCAGACTCCCAGCATTGGCTCTTCTAGTCCACACGGTGCCTGCAGACAGTTTTGGTCCCACATGCCCCTGCAGCAGGCACCAAAGGTCCTTCTAGCAAGTACCTGATATCCTTTGGTCACATGAGATCCAACATCTGGCCTCACCATTAGAGTGGATGGATCACTTAAGCCCAGAAAGAAACACAGTTCTGATCCATCACAGCTCAGATCACGCTGGCTATCCTCTGTGCTCTGTGCAGAAAATATCCCACCTCGCCCTGAATCTGTTTAATCCTTGAGCACGCTTCTTATCCCCAAGCAGATAAATAAAACCAAAAGATCTTCCTTCGTACCACAGCAATACCAAAGCATACAGAACTCCACACGCTTCTTCTACTGTGTCCCAGCCCCATGGCTGTTGCTCTGTGGGACCAAAGTCAGATGTATGGATCAGCCCAGTCTATGGTAGGGCACCACCAGCATCACACCTTGCTGGTCTTGGCAAGGAGATGGCCAGCAGGGGAACATCCCTGCAGGGAAGTGCCCCTGGAACAAGACATCTTCACCCCATAACAGGCCATTTGAGGGATCAGTATGCTGAGGGATCTTCCTTTAGTCTACTCTTGTGCAGGGAGGGCAGAGGATGAACAGACTCCAGCCTGGTAGACCAGACAGCATGGGGAAGACTGGGGAAAGGCTTTGTGAAAGCACTGCATCTAGCCAGGGACTGAGCCAAGGTGGACAGCTATCCTTCATCAATAGTGGCCTTTGGAAAAGGTTTTGTATCCTTAATGCTTTGAGTGTTAGGACATACTGTTGGATTCCCCATTCTCAAGCCTATTCCTCTATGGAAGAAGAGCCCAGGGGAGCCTGGGAAGCCTTGGGAAGTTGCAGTTAGCTCTTCAGGTCCATCTCCTGGTAGCCAAATATACACCCTTTGATTTTCATCCAACACATTGCTGGTGGTGGCTGGTTCTCACTGAAGACACACACATGTATCAGTGCTGTTTGCACTGATGTTGCAGTCCATTTCACTCCACTGGTCTAAAGTCCCCAAACTGGTGCAAGTCAAAAAGTGGCCACTCTCCCTCCTCCAGGTTGAAAAGCTTCCCTTATTTCATTTTCTACTTCTCAAGGCTTTGCTTCCCCCCACCAGCAGCATCCAGCTGGGATGAAGGTATATGCTGGGCAGTTTACTGTTGAGCAGGAGGTTTCTCACAGAAAGAATCCCACAAAAGCACAACGGCACCTCTGGGAAATAAGGAGCTGCAGGTGCCCCCTGGAGATGACCCTGGTGCCATTCAGTGCATTTCGTGCCAGCTCCCAATTCCTTATGATCCCTGGTGAAAACGCACCATGCTCTTCCACTACATCTCTGTCCCAGCACACCAACACTCCACATGTACAGGCACCATGGAACGGAGACGTTGGGCTATATACAACGTAAAATCCATCTCCAAGAGCTTGAGATGAGGCCCCCAGGTAGGTCTACAATAATGTGAGAGAACAGCCTTCAGGCTGTAGGTTGAAGGCCCACTGGGCTAAACACTGTACAAATACTTTCTGGAGGACAGATGAATGATCCTTGCTGCAAGAGCCTACAGTCTACAAAAACAGAGCCACAGCTGCACCACTATACAGACATTACACCTATTTACACCCACAAATATTTTGGTCCCAGCAGAACACGTCTTTCAGACCAATAGGCCAGCAATCAGTTGATCTGGGGCAGGGACTTCACTGCTCACCTTTTTTCTTCATTTGCAGTGCCAGACCACTTCTAGCCATTATTCTTTCCACCTCTGGTTTGGATTCACAGATCCATCACCCTCCTCTGGCTCACAGAAGACAACCTGGTATCAAAACAAAGTGCCTTCCTGGACAGCTGATCCCTATGGTCCATAAGTGTCCCACATTGCAAAGGAGGTGACGAGTGCTGGGCCAGGAAGAGAAATGGGTGAGATGCTGGATGATTTTGGACCCAGTTCTCCCCTGTTTTGGCCTCACAAGCTGTTGGCACTGCGCTCATCACTGTGTGTGCAGCAGGATGAGAAGTGGGGAGGCAGATCCCTCCATCTTTGAGCCTCTGTCAAGGGTGGTGAGAAGAAATACAGACTGCCATGCTGCTGGGACATGTGTCTGACAAAGCTTATCTGACAGGAAATATTACTTGGTTAGTTTGTATCTTGATAATGCACACCCTCCCAATCACCTCAGCTGGCACAGGTCAGCACTCCATGGGTGGCCCCAGCTGACTCTCCAAAACCTTGCCAGATGCCTGTGTGCCTGGGTGTGCCCTGAACATGATGCCAGGAGACCCAGCCAGACTTTACAGAGCATACCTGTTCCTGCAAGGCTGCTGGACAGGTGCTTTAAGGCTTTGAAATACAAGGTGACTCTCAGGCTCACCAAGCACCCCAAAACCCCCCTCCTTCACACTACACAGACCCCAGCCCCCTGAAAGGCAATTCCCCAAGGCCACAGGAATGGAGGAGGGGAAGGCCCTGGGTCCAGGGGACACAGGGAAGCAGGAGAAGATGATGTTTCTGTTGGGGATTTGGAAAGCATCTTCAAGGGAATTCAGGTCTCCAGGATCATTTTCTTTTAACAAGCAAACAGACAAAAGCTGCTCAGCATCCTAATTACATCTGTTAAAAACCTTAGCTAGGAAAAATATACCCTTGGTAAGTCCCTTCTCCATTTTTAACCATGTTTTCCATCCAAGAAATTAGAGACCAAAACTATGATTAAATAAAGACTAGCACATCACTTAGCTCTTCCCTTCCCCACCTTCCTTCTTCACTCCTGACCCCCCAGACAGTTTATTTACAGTTTGGATGATTCTCTGCCAAGTCTTGCAGGAGGCAGACAGCTCAGCCTGAAAGTTGATTGTCCCTCCTAGGTTCTAGGCTCTCTGCGACATCCTCCAATTCATCCAGGATTTCAGAGAAAGATGGCCTCTTAAATGCTTCCACCTGGAACAAGAAAGAAAAACTGAAGATGACACCCCGAACAAGAGGTGGGTGCTCTGCAGCAGCTTTGCTGGCTTCCCCGAGGCTGGGAAATGGCATCCATCCATCATTAGCACTGGTCTGGGTCACACACCTTCCAGTGGAGCCTTCTGGCATCACCACTTGGTGATCTAGGCCCGGGCTGCTGCAAATGAGCAGCCACAGGACAGGTCCCATGGTGCGGTACAGCTCAAGCAAAGGCAGTGAGATGCTGAAAGTCAGCCTGACATAGCCCAACCGGGACAGGGTGTGAGAACTGCTCATCCCAAAGCCCACTCAAATGGTGTCAGAGTAGGCAGTGTGCAAAGAAAGGCTGCAGGTACGTATCAGGAAGGAGACGTATCATTCCCTGAGCTTTTTCATGACAGTCAGTATCTAACTGTCTTGTCTCCCTGATGCAGCTCATCCTCAGTGGGTTGTGATCCCCAGCCCTCCTAGTGCCATCAGAGTGTAAGCAAAATGAGTGACACCCCAATCTCACACCCCACCATACCATCCTGGGGCTGCCCTTTGTGCCTGACCCCATGGAGCCAGCCTGGGGAGCTGCAACAAAAACTCTCTAAACCCGCACATAGCACAAGGGCAGAGAACAGCAGCCTCAAGGGCCATTTCTGGCAGAAGCCTATTATTATATCAACTTGCATTAAGAAGCTGACCATCAGAGATACAAGATCTGAACACACAGAAATCTAAGCCAATTGCTGACATGAATCACTCCTCTAATTCAGGGCAATTTATTCACACATCCGCAGGACCCATGAAAGGTTTGACTTCTATTTGCTGCCTTGAGCTCTTCGCAAATAGGTGTGTTTTGATCACCTAGCTTCTCCACTCTCTGCCTGATTACTGCCTTTGTTCTTCTCTTCTGTTCAGAGATTAACTTGGATCTTCGTTTTCTCTTTGCTTTGCTCCCCGATGCTTTGGGCAGCATGGGGAGGCCCCCCAGCTTTCATTATTAGCTGTTATGTGTGCTAGCACTGAGAGCAGCAGGGTCAAGCTCTCCAGGATTCACAACAATTTTGGTCTCTATCATACAAGTGTGATACAAATCCAATAAAACCAAAGGGAAAAAAAAGAACCTAACAAGAATCTCACCCGACAACAGCTAGCAGTGAGGTCCATCACCCTCTTTGGGCATTCACTGATCATCCCTTGGAAGGCAGCAACATCCAAACCATAATCCTGTGAGGAAGGGGAAGAGTACATAGAAAAGACTTCAGCTATAAAGTCCTTTAAAAGCTCTTAATTCTTCCCAGGGTATTAAAGCACAAAATGCTCATGGTTTAAAGCTTTTAGGGTCTCCATCACAGCTGTTTTACTGATGGCTATGCAAAGGTACCAGGGCAACATCAGCTCTGTCAGGGATGCACAGATGGTAAACCATTAGCAGAGCTGGGACAACTGCAGCATCCTTCTGCTTGCTCTGTGCTATATCCCTGCAGAGCAGTATGTGTCCTCCCGGAAAAAGCTCAGACTAAGGCAACAAGATCCACAAAAGCAAAAACCAGTAGAGGAACCAGCACCAGGTGCTGAGCAGTGGCTGTCGAAGACAGGAACTGCAGATAATCTTGTCTTCCAACAGCAGCTGAGTGTTGAAGGGGTCCAGCCAGCTGTTTCCATAACTATAGCTTTGTCCCTCTGGGCTTCTGAGTCTCTGATACGTAATTCTCCTTCATCTTGGGAACACAGATGGAGCATTAGTTCCTGTTCAGTCTCACAGAAATATGGAATAATCTCTGGTCACTGCAGGTTCTTGCATTGCTCATTGGAAAGTACCAATTTGCTGTTTTCCTGATGGATTTTTCATTCCTTTTCAGGATAAACTTTCCCTTTCCACATTGTGGAAGGAAAGTTCTCTCTTTGTGAGATCAGATTTTCTCATGGAAAAACCTGTAGAGAAAAACCTGAGTCTGAACACATACACATGCATACAGGTCAGTTTGGTTCAGAAAGAAGCCACAGTCTGGTACCATGGAGAAAACACCATTAGATCTGGCTGCAGAAATCATTACCTGGGTCCTGGGAAGCACTTCAGGGTCAGCTGGGATCCTGCCCAGGATTTCACAGAGGACAATACCAAAGGAAAACACGTCCACCTGAAGGAGGGGTAGGAGAGCGGGAGGTGGGACAGGGCATGCACAGAAGCAAAGCATGAGAAAGAGAAGTACCAACAACAAGGTCCTTCCGTAAATTATGCAAATGTCCCATCAAAAAAGCCCATTGGAGAGGGAGGCAACAAACCCCTAATCTTATTCTGGGCTTCTGAACCCACCTAGAAACACCACATCCCCACTTGGAGTCCAGCCTCATCCTCAGGAAGCCTGGCCCCATATTCTTGTTCAATGTGTCTTGTGCTTCTACCACAGCTCTGGCACCCCCCACAGACCCTGCAACAGGCTCGTGGGGCTGTAACTCATCGAGCATTTTCCTCAGAGAGGCTTCACTGTGTTTGCCCTTGGCAGAAATCCATTTCCCTGAAAGTTTAACTTAATAAGGGCCACATAAGGAACTTCCAAGTTGCTAAGCAAAGCATTACTGAGCAAAGGTCCAGGTAGTAGGATGACATTTCCTGGGGAAGGAGGAAAGGGCTTCTATGCTGTTGGAACATGTGACCAGTAAGCAGAGAAGACATCTCCCACACTCGCTCAGGAGCTCTGAGGATGAACAAGGATCTGGGAAGCCATACCTTCCGGTCATAGGGCTCTCCCCGCAGCATCTCAGGAGCCATCCAGAAAGCAGAGCCCACCAGAGACAGCTTCCTCTCCACATCCTTCATAGGCAGCTCCACCACCTCCCTGGCCAGCCCGAAGTCTGTCACCAGTGCCTCACGGCCCCGTAGTGTCACCCGAATGAGGCAGTTCTGAAAGGAGCCCATGAGGCATGGCATTAGGTGCCTGATGAGGAAGGGCCTGAACACTTCACCTCACTGGCCTCAGCCCCACCTCGCCACTACAGGCTCTCCCTTCATCAGAGACCTGCATCCTGAAAGCACACATGGGGCATGCAAGGCAGATTAGGGATGCACCAGTCACATCCGAAGCCAGGAAAAGTCCTTTGAAGAAGCTGTTCAATGAACATGATGATCTACATCCTTTTATCTGAAAGAGGCCTCGAAATGTGCATGTAGACCTTACTCACTGTTCAACTGAAGGCAGGCAGGATTACAGCCACAGCCCTTCTTGCTGCCCATAGCTACACATCCCTAACAGGGCTTTCTGGAGGAATTTCTATAAAATTATCTCAAGGTTTCTCAAAAACCCAGCAGTTTCAACCTGTTCAGCTCCCCAGGATTTCCTCCTCAGCATCTGCTCTCACAGAACTAACAGAAACAACAGGCATCTTCTCCACATGGCTCCCACTAATAACTAGATTTCAAGTGAGAATGTATACACTTCTCTCCCATATCTTCAGCCATCATCACTGCAGGTTTCCTAGGTTTCCCTGGGGAAGGATGAACCTCTTTCAGAGTTGAACCACTGCAACAAGACAGAAGGGCAGGCACCTCCAGCACTTTCCACAAGCAGATCTGGAAAGTTCCTGAGCTCATCAGTCACCACCAAATAGGAAATTACATCTCACCTGACTTCAGAGCATACCAGCCAAGAAACCTGTCGTCAGAGTGAACCAGGTTCTTGCCTTGACCTTGCCTGGCGTTTGCGATTTCATGGTAACAGAGCCAAGTAAACAATCTGAGACTAGAAAGGTGAGTTTCATTCCTATGCTGATGTCTCTCAAGACTATAAAGCTTGACTGGCTTCCCACTGCCAACCTTCATGAATATTTCAAGTTTATCTTAAAAAGCTCATAGAGCACCAACGAAAATAGCTTATAAGAAGACACACCACTACATATCCAGCATCAACTGCACGGACTTGCAGGCTTCATTTCCATGAATCACCAAGCTAACCTCTGGTGCCAGCTGACACAGATATGGTCCAGGCTGGTCACCAACCCCTCAGCTCACATTACCTGTGATATCATGGGCATGCTGCAGATCCATATGAGTTTTGGATAGTTTTACCCAAGAGACTGTCCCATATTCCTACTGCTATACCAGTGGCAGAGCTAGAGCCACATCAAAGCCTGTCCTCATGGACAAGTCTGAGAAGTCCCAGTGCTGTTCCTGTACCCATCAAGCAGCATGAGCACATTCCAAGGAAAGAAGCTTCCCAGCCAGAAGGCCAATACACAAGGAATATTATGTGCCTTTGCATTACACCCAAAGCCTGTCTCCAGATGCCAGTCTTCACAGCTGGCACGCTGCCAGAGTATGAAACCCATGGAGGTGACAATCCTAAAACTGGTGACCTGGATTCTCTGGATCAAGGAAGAACAACTTCCCTGCATTCGACTGAGTAGACACACATCTCCTGAGCTCTGCTGGTGCTCCACACACAGACAAGGGCCATTTCACATGGCACTTGCTCCCAGAGCCTTTGACCAGCTGATGTTAGCGACAGCTTCCTCCTTGCTGTGAACAGGAAAGGAATTATCTAAATTTGGCAGAGCTTTCACTGCAACTGTAGGCAAAGAAAACCATGTGCAATCCTGCATACATTTCCATCTGGTTTCTTTTCTGACAGGAACAGCACTAGGAGGAATATCTATACTGGGTCTCCTGCTTGGCAAGCAATGAATTAAATGTAATGGCAGGTTTTATCAAGAAAGCTTCCTTGCCTGCAGAGGGATTAGCATAAATCAGAGGACCAGCATGAGGCCTGAGGCTTCCTGGTTACAGCCCTAAGCGGTCCCTGTACAGTCCCCTAACTTGTACTGCTTTCAGCAGTCCAGGGTTGTCATCCGCTTTCCAGCTGCATACCTTGGAATTGAGATCTCGGTGGTAGATATTCTTGGAGTGCAGGTAGATCATTCCTCTGGTGATGTCAGAAGCTAAGTCCACTTTTTCCTTCCACGTCAAAGCAGTGTCTTTGCTGGCCAGGAGCTCCTCCAGGCAACCCCCATTCACGTACTGTGAACAGAGACAAAAAGCCAGTGGCTGTGCAGCCAAGCACAGGCTCCCCTGGAGCTTCCCAGGTGCTGAACCCTCCCTTGCCAATCCAGGAGCCCCTCCTTCAGGATGGAGGTTGGGAATGCCACTGCATGCAGGGCCCCATGTGTGGCATAGTGCAAATACCCCTCGTGGTACAGCAGGTCACTGCTGGCCTCTGGGCTTTGTCCATCTGCAGGGATGGCTGTATAAACCAGCCATGGTCTTCACTGTTGGGCAGCAAAGTAGAGGCAAAAAGCCTGGCAATGGTTCAGTGAATGCCTTCTGCCACCAACAGTGTAGGAACAAGGTGAGACCTCCCCAGTACCAGCCCAGGACTTTCCATTAGACCACACCACCATTTCAGAGCCACCCTGGAGGTCCTGCCACTCTCTGTCTGCTTTACTTTCTTCTCCTGCTCTCCACCCTTGGCTCCTCTTCTCCCCTCCAGCTGGCCAGTTCTGGCCCTTGGTGGTAACAAGCCAACCTGAAACACTTTTTGGCTATTCTGCTTGAATCTCATGGCCCTGCAGTGACTGTGCCCTCTCCAGCTGTGACCAGGTGTGGGGAAGAAAGGACCCTAAGCCTCTCTGGGGCAATCTTGCTAGTCCAGAGCCATTCACCAGTGCAGGTGTCAGAGAGGTGTAGATATATGTTACAGGATATCTGCCATCCTCCATACCAAACAACCACAGGGTCCTTGCCTGCCCAGAGCACACTTACAAGCAAGAAACCTTTACCTCCAGAATGGGGTACAGCTTGTCATCCTTCACACATATCCCAAGGTACCTAAGCAGAAGAACACATTAAAAAAAAAAAAAAAAAATTACATCAATGCTCAGCTCAATCCCTCATTGCAGAACTGCCTTAGAGATATCAAGCCAGTTCCAGCCCCTGCCAGTATCCACTGCTCACGGCTGGAGGCTGTGCCCACCTGACGATGTTGGGGTGGGACAGCTTCTGCAGCAGGCTGATCTCACGCACAATCACCTCTTGGTCCACGTCATTCTTGTAGATCTTCACCACCATCACTTTACAAGCAGCAGCCTGGGTCACCTGGAGCCAAGGTTAGAGCAGAACATCTCTTAGCTTCCAGAGGTCTGCCAGCCCCTCTGGACAACAGCATCCCTTCCCAACCAGAGACCTGAATCTCATTTCCCTTCTGCCCAGAGCTCTGCAGTCATTTGCACAAGTGCAAAGTGCTGTCTTCCACATAAGCTCCACTCCAGTGATGTCTGCCTGGGTAGCTGGGAACAGCAAGGTCCCTCCTGTCCCAACACATCACAACACTATTTCTCTGCCAAAATTTGTGTATTCCTTGGGCTGGAGCACTTTCTAAGCCCACACCAGGTTACCACAGAGCTGACCTTCTCCCCTCTAATGCCTTGCATTCAATGTCCCTTCCCAACTGCAGCCTGCCCCACATCTACATCCCTCCTTCCTAACTGGGGCTGATCACTGCACAAGGCTGCCGGCCACACTCCTCATCTCCAATTCCTTCTGCACCCCTGTCCATGGCCAGCCCCCCCATAACCAGACTCTGCCAGACAGACACAACAAAGAAAGCACAGAGCCAGCTCATCTCTCCCCCACATCCCAGGACAGAGGTCCCATGTCTGCTTCCCAGCCACATGCTAACCTGAACCTCTGCTATGGATTACCACCAGACATTTGATTTCTAGGGTTTCCCCCAGACAGGGATACTGGAAGCTAAAGAACAGAACACAAAATGCTTTTCCCCCACCTTACAACACTGAACAGACTGAGCAGGCATTTTTAGGAGGAAATTTGCTGTCCACTGTGAAAGCACCAGTCAGGAAGTACTGAACAAAGGAGCTTCATACAGGGTGCAGGACATGCAGGAGTCACCTGGCTCTCAGCCCTGACAGGACCACCCAGGGCCCCTGCACTGCAGCTCATGTTACCTGGGCTGATGATCCAAATAGCAGTTTCCAGACCACATCACAGAGCATTGTGGTACTTCAACATGTCCATCCTCAATTAACATCTGTTTTAAGGAGACTCATGTATCAGGTGTGGCCAACACTGATGTCCTGACAGCTCCCCCAGGGCTGCCATAGAATTCAGCTATGTGTTTAATTTTCTCTCAATTTGAGGTTTTGGGGTTTTTGTTTGTTTGTTTTAAGGGAAAAATAGTTTAGACACAGCATGAGCTGGATTAAGAGCAGCATTCTGAGTCCCATAGTGTCATCCACTGCTCTCTGTGATGACCACTTTACAAGACAAGGTTACTAGGCCAGGTGAGAACAAAGAGCTGCATGTAAGACCTAGCTGGACTGGAGGGAGATAAAGGTTCATTATAATGACCTCACAAAACAAATTGTCTTGGAAGCAACATGAACTGCTGCTTCCCTTCTGAAGGAATACAACCTCATAGTCTATGTTGACACTGGAACAACTCTGCCTCTCTACTCAGGCAGGTCATAAGGAAGCCAGGGCTCTGACACTCTCACCTGATGAGGCTTCATAACCACAGACTGTGGATCACTAGTCAGACATAACTGATTATTAACTCTAATTGCACAGATGTAAATATAAGAGATGCTATCAGTCATCTTTGCCCAAAGACTCTGAGTGCTCTCATGCTCAGGACAGAGCACAGGGAGCAACTGAAATCTGGAAGATCTGAAAAACTTTCAGAGGAGCCAATACTGAGTTTCAGTAAAACCTATTAGCTCTGCACAAATTTCGGCAGAGACACAGCTACACTGAGCTTCCAGTGAGGTTAGACACCAGCAGAGTTCACAAACAGTGCCTGGGCTGGTGGAGTTGGTGAGCGCGGGAGGGGTTCCTGTAAACAAGGTAATGCAAAGTCCAGCCTGGTCTTGAGAATAAATGACTGAAAAACAAGGGCAGACCCACACCCCAAAAAAAAAGTAGTGGGAGAGATGGGCAAAGGTAATGGGCTCAGAAGGCCTGTTCCAAGACTGTGGGCCCTAAGATTTTGCTCTGGTCAACCTGAAGCAGCCCTTGGTCTGCTCTGAATCACATGAAGTCTCCAGTTTTGTCCTGGATCGGTGTGAGAACCAGGAAAGTGCAGAGGGGCCTCCAAGGTATTCTCATTTCATGCTAACAGATGATGAAGGGAAGATGATGTTCTGGTGTCAGCCTTGAATGGATAAATAAAGGTGAAAATCTAGTCCTGGAAAGTTGCATATAGACAGGGAATGGGACTGTGCTTCCTAACATGTATGAATTTTTTTGAGGGCCAACAGAGAAAAAGGTTGCTCAGAGGCTCCCTTTGGGCCATTCCTTAAACAAGCCTCAGAAAAAAGAAGTCATGCTGCATTTCCATCCTGCTCTCCTCAGACCCCAAAGTATGAGAGATGCCCATGAAAGAAGCTGTATGCTTTCCCCGAGAGAAACTCATACTTGAATAGCTCCTTATTGCCCATAAGAAAACTAAGGCAGATGAGGAGGCACTTTGTGCCTGGGCCATGCAATATATAACCCACAGAGCAGAAGGCTGTGCCCAGACCTCTCAAGTCTGAGTCACCAAGTAGAACAAAGTGAATCCTCCTTCCTCAGTCAATGAACATATAACAACTCCTGATAATGGGCTTATCCGAAGGACAAAGGATGGCAAACACAACAGGCTGCCAGCACAGGCAGTGCCAGCACTTTGGGGAGTCTATGTCCTTGCTGTGGGAGCACTTCGGAAGACAACATCTGTTGGCAAAGAGCTTCAAAGGACCATTGCCAGTCATGCTTCGCAGCAGGAGTGCTGCTGTTCAGGGCTACAAGTCCACAGGGGACTGGCTGAACCAAGAGGACTACAAGTCATCAGAGCACTCAGTTACGGTCACGTTTAAGTCCCCAGACAAATGTCAAGTCCCCACAAAGGACTGCCCTTGTCCCAAGTCCTCCTCCACTGTCTTCTGACCATTTGACCCATAGCATTTCATTCAAACTTTATTTTTTTTTACATTTTTTTTCAGTTTCTACTTCAAGCAGTTATTTAATTTTCATTCAAGATCCATGTCTCCAGCTTGCCTACTGCTGGAATTTCATTCACTGCCAGGGGAGGAGGAAAATGTCACACATACTGGCAACAGCAACTGTTGCTATGAAAATCTGCTAGATAAAGGAAAGAGAAAGCAATGGCAACAGCATGCTGTGTAGGTGGGGAAAGCAATTACTAGAGGGAGGCTGTGGTGGGGTGTGGAGAGGTATTTGTCATGTATTGCTCCAGTCTGCAAAGAGCTGCCATAGACCTTTGGCTGGAGATTCCCACAAACAGCTTTAGTGCACTGTCCTTGGACCTAAAGTTCACCCAAAGGCTTTATCACGGCACCAAACTCAGATACAGTAGAGGAGACAGAGCCTTGAAAAAGCAATGTGCATTTATCTATCCAAGTTAGGTATTTTCTGCAGTTCCATGGCCAGATCCTGCCAGCCTGCCTCCATTAGTTTCAACTGGCCACATGTGCTTACACCAGCCAGAGATCTCACCCAGAATATACCAGAGTACTCCTCTGGCAGAAGCATCTTATGCTGGCCCAGGAGAAACGAGTGGTCATGATGTTTACCACGGGGCTGGTAAAGCAAAGGAGCTGAAGGCAACGGTAGAGTCAGGCCCAATTTGTTTCCACTGTCAGTGCCACATCCTAACGACTAAGATCAGTGTCAGCAGCCACATTCTGGAGGGCTGCTGGAAGGAGAGAGAAGGTTGGCAAACCTGAACGTAGCATCCACTCTCAGAGATAAAGGCTGAGTATCACTCCCTAACCTCCTTTTGCTTTGCTGTTCATAGAGCAGTGATCACCGAGGGCTGCAGGGAAAGAGCTCCAAGTCCCACCCACTCCCCCCAATTAAGTAGTGGCACTCCTGAGCTGAGAAGCAGCACTGGAGGGGGAGCAAAGCTAGCAGCACCCCGAATCCTGTGTTTGCTCAGGGTTAAATGAACTCCCACACCAGTGGAGCTTGGTGCAGGGAGTGACTCACAACAGCCCCAGTGAGCAAAGCAGTTTTGCTTTGGTGACACACCATCTGCATCAAGCACTGGCTTGCAGGGAGCCATGGGTCTCCTGACATGAAGGCAGCAGAGGCAGAAGTGGACAGACCAGCAGCCTGATCCAGCCTGACCCTGCCCCAGGTCCCTCCTCTTCCCCAGTATCACCATAACGCAGGGCAGCAGGCGGAGAGAGGTGACAGTGCTGGCATCTCCACAGAGTGTGGGTGGCAGATATTCTGGGAGACACATGCAGCTTAATTTTACGTTCTTTTTCTCCATATATTTTGCTACAGTTTTGACAACAAAACCTGCACAGAGCATAAATAAATATCCCCTAATCTCATCCAATACCCAGTTTAGCTCCCTGACAAGCCTGTTGTATGGCTAGATGACAGTATCAATGAACACTGATAGATCAAGTCCTTCCATCTCCTTTTTCACTATGGAAGAGGAGATTTGGGTCAAAGGCAATGTGGTAAGTGCACAGAGGGAGGTGTCCTTTCCTCCCTCACCCTATCCAACCTGACAGAGTGAGCTGGGAGGATGAACATGAGGAAATAAGCTTAGGGACAGGTTCCTCAGGTGAGGCACCATCTACACAGCCTCAGCAGCTGCTCAGCTGCTCTCACACAGGTCGCGGGCTGCCTGCATGTCAGTTTACCTTGTAGACCTTGGAGAAGAAACCGCTGCCTATCAGCTCGGCGTTGAAGTTTTCCCAGAACTCCAGCTTCCTGACAGCCGTGCGCAGCCTCTGCCAGCGGTCCACATGGTAGTAGGTGTCGGATGACTCACCATAGTACTGCATGGGGCTGGAGGGCTCCGGTGCGATGAGCCCTGCCTCGCACATCGTGGGGGCAGCAGCTAAAACACAGTGTATTTCACAGTGAGCCAAACAGTGGCATTTGCACATCAAATACCTGCACTAGAGACCGGGACTGGATGAAGCCTCAGGAACAGAGGGAGAGATGAGGCACCAAGATGATGCACCCTGCAGCACACGTCGCACTGAGAAGCACCCATGGGCACTGCTGCCTGGATAAGTCACCCTGGGCTTAGGTCTGTCTTATGCAGGTTGTATTCAGACTTTTCTAGACTAGGACTTAAAGATGTTGAATTAGCATATATTCACTTATACCTTTTAAAGATTTATGACAGATCAGATGTGTCACTTTCAACACATGATAGTGCAGCCCAGGAAAAGTCCAGGAGACTCAGTCTTGCTCGGCCATCTTATGTTGGGTTAAAAGACACTGTCTAAATTGGGCTTTTAGCATAGATCATGTGCCACATACTAATGCCACATATAATGGCATGTCTGTTACCCCAGAGCTCTAGACAGGGCTTAGCTACTATTGCAGACAGAGGCTCATGGATTGAGTGTGCTAGAAAGAAACAATCTTAAAAGGTTCCTCGCTTGGCAGGTGCCTACAGTTCATTATAAGCCCTTTAGAATCACAGAACAAGGAAATGCCCCAGCAACCCTCCTCCTGTCTCTGTATCTCAAATTTGACTGCAAGACTCAAGTGCCTCTGCTAAATTGTCTTCCTTTTTCACTGCTCTGATTCTCACACTACTCTCTCCAGTCCCTTCTCCCCGTTCGCCTTTCTGTCTTTTATAGCATCAGGCTCACACTCCTCCAAAGCCATATGCCATCCTTCCCCTTCTCCCACATCACTTGCCTTTAGTTACTTCCAAAAATGCAGGGGAGGCAAATCCAGTGGAAAATGGGATTCTGACACACTGAGTGAGCTGAATAAAGCACCTACTTCTCAGTAATTGTAAACAACTGTTTGTACGCTATAAAGCTGTCTGAGCACCTTCCACTCACCGCATGTGCTCAGATTCCTGGGGGCCTGGCGAGCTGCTTTGCCAGACTGTAACCAGATGAGGCAACAGTCAGCAAAGGGTAATTCTTCAACACTTCTAACTGAAGCAAAGGTAAACTCTGCCCTCCCAAAGTTTCTGTCCTAAATCCTGCACCAAACAATCAGCTGTATCATCATCCCTTGATCCCATGGATTATTTCATGGTTACTTTGCTTCTATAGGGCAAGACAAAATCTGCACTGAGACATGCATAAAATGTTTGCAGCAGCGACCTCATCCACCCACAGTCCAACCAAGATCCAAAGAGAGAGGCTGCCAAAGGGGGACAGACAGATGTGGTGGCAGGACTAAGCATAGCAGGAATTCCCAATGTAAACAGCGGGCAAGCTCCAGGATGAGATTCAGGGAGCTGCAACACAGGGGCACAGCAGCAAAAACTTCTGAAAGCATCCAGACCCCGAAGTTGCCACCCTAGGACAGTCCCACACAGACTGCAGGACTCCAGTCCCAGCAAAATCAACACAATACATGGGCTCCTACCTGACTGCATGGCAAACACCTGCAGGACCAAAGCCCCAGAACTGCTCATTAACAGGGGAGCCCATGGCCATGATCAGCGTTCAGATCAGACAGGGCACATGAAAGAGGTTACAGGGCCACAGCTTTATCCCTGCTCTGACCCAAGGACAGGCAACCAAGGAACACCCCATGATGATCCCATTCTTGCATCAACCCAGCAGTCTGGAGGTTTTTGCCTTGGGACAGTCACTGCTTCTGACAGCCAGCACCATCTGAAATGCAGCTGTGCCCAGCCCCCTCCCACCCAGCCTGCACCCAGGTGCCACACACTGGCACTGGGGAAGAGGCTCATGCAAAAGCAGGGGACAGGACTCACATCAGTCACGCTCAGTGCTGCTAAAGCCACCCTGCTCTGGCTGTGTCACTGAAGGTATTACCTTCTCACAGGGACAATTCATCCAGTTTCTGCAAGGATATCTCTCTCTGGCATCCAAAACAGCCCAACTTTGGCAAAGACTTGGGCATGAGTGCAGCAGAGCAAGGCACTGGCACAAGCTGGTGGCAGGGTGCAGCAAAGGGCTTTTATTGCCCAAGGCCATGCTCAGCATGCAGACGCAGGAGGTGCTGCAGCTCCAGGCCAAGCAAGTGGTGCTTCACAGTTAGCAAGACACAGAGGAGCTCTTCCACATCCTGCACAACTGGCCAGGACATAAAGGGATGCTAACAGGGTCTGACAAATTGTGCTGACCTCAAGCTGCCAACAAAACATGGAGAAGGAATGGCAAAGGCTTGCTCTGAGCATTGGATCCATCTGTGAGGATGCATTATCAGGGTTTACCCAATCCTACTCCCAATCCTGGAACACAGGTTTGCTTTCTCCAGTTGTGTGGATGGTGAAACATTTCCACGGCAAGCTACAACCTCACCCTGGAGTGCTGGTCACTCACTGGCAGAGCTGTGGTGAGCACCTCCAAGTGCTGCTCTAGCCACCAGACATACCCAGGAGGCTCTGAAAGCCTCCCCCTCCACCTCAACATTCTTCAGTAACAAAAGAAAGAGGAGCATTTCCTCAGCTGAGCAGCACACCTATGGTGCCCTGATCCCCAGCCACCCTGGAGCCCCTCCTGCCTGCAGGGTGGCCCAGGCATGGGTACAACAGGTCCCCATGGGCAAGGCAGGCTGCCTAGAGCTGCCTCTTCCACAGGGAATGGTTTCCTTTTCAGAGGCGTCCTTGTTCAGTGCTTTTCCCATGTACAATCTCCTCCTGCCATGACCTAGTTCATCAATTCCCTCTTTGTCCAGTAAAGAATCCCTGCAGCATCCCCCAGCACGCCAGAACAGCCCCTTGCATTATGCTGCTGAGTGGGAGTGGAGTCTTATATTTTCCTCTTACAAATGCAGCTGTTTGTTCCCAGATTAGTGCTGACACATAGGCTGAGGGAGAAAATGGCCTTTCAGAATGCCAAGATTTATCTGAAGGTTTCCTAGGAGCTGGGGGAGGAGAAGGAGAGGGTGGGAGAAGGAAGGGCAGTCTCGGGGGTCAGCCCTCAGTCCCAGACATCTGGCCAGGGCACATTCCTGCATCACCAGCAAGGTTTAGAGCACCCAAAGCTGTGCTTTTGTCTGAGCAGGCAAAGCGCTGGAGCAGCTGCCCATATCCCCGGTGCTCCCAGATCAAATTCAACCCACAGAGGGGAGACCAGGCTCAGGCACGGGAGAAGGCTCATCTCCTTCAAGGCTGCCCTGCCTGCAAGAAGGGAGACAGAGCTACTGGCTTCCATCACCCTCTGTGGAAACTGCCCATGTCTCCAGGCTTTCCAGCTGCACCCACAGCAAGCAAGGAGCTCCCTCTGTACACAGCAACCAACATGCACCTCCCAGCTCCCCAGGGCAGCGAGAAGCACTGAGGAAGCAGCTCACAGGCAGCCAGGAAATGTTTGGATGCTGTGAGCTGTCATTGCAGGGAGCCCACTCCTTGCCAGATTAAAAACATGAAATTAGCAGTCATTTGGAAAAGCAGACCTGGGACGCTGTCTTCCAATGGGCTTTCCTTGTCTGCAGACACCAGAGAGGCACTCACAGGCTGCAGGGAAGGGGCCAGTTCCCCAGCTGGGGCTGCTCATGCTTGCTGCCCATGCTTGCTGCCATGCTGCAGGCTCAGTGAGGCTCCAGCAGCTTCTAGCGCTGGCAAAGAGGCTGTAACTACCCCTGTGCTTGCACCCTGCAAAAGCAATTGCCCAGCCAAAAGTCTGGCTCCAGCCCAGGGAAGGGCCTGGCAGGAGCAGGCAGGCACTGTGGGGGTTTATTCCCTCTGTTCAGCAATGTAGAACCCATGGCTCCCAAGTAAGCCCCCACCCACCCAGCAGACTGGCTCTCCCAGACCCATGCACAGCCAGACATAGTCCCGAGCATCTGCCCAGGCCCAGGCTCTGCTGCAAGGATGCAAACCCCAGGCTTCAAACCCCACCTCTAAACAACAAATTTTCTTGAAAAAAGGGGAAAATAAACTCTTCCTCCCCTCAGCCACCAGACAGCCAATCTGCCTTCTCTGCCACTGTTTCCAGGACTCTTCTTCCCATCATCAGGAAAGCAGAGAGCTTCTCCCTAGCCTCATCTGCCGCTAAGCAAGAAGCTGGACCAGCCCCAGGGACCTCCCTGGACCATGAAGCCCAGTGCCTGAAGGCTGGAGCCTTGCTCTGGGGAGCAACAAGTAAAACCTTTGCCTACTAACATGCCATGCAAAAACCTGTGAGTGGGTTCATTCTGTAAAAAAAATATCTTTGCCAGGACACCAGGGTGCCAGCACTGGGGTCCACAAATGGGGGAACCCACTCTCCTGGTGGAGAAGGGGCTGTGCACTGACTGTGTACGTGTGCGTGTGTGCACACATATGCAGGATTTGGCCTTGAGGGGATCTGATGCAGAAGGATACTTAGAAATCTGTAGCTGCTTATCAACATTTTGTAAATGTCTAGCACTGGGATTTACCTGTTGTGTTAATTTACCTGTTGCTGATAATGATCCTGACGTTTTAAAATCACAGGAGTTGAGTGGTTTTCTCCTGCAGCACGTGTGGGCTGCATGGGCACTGCTCCCTACAGCCCTCTCCACCCTGCTCTGCCTGCACTTGGCTCACACAGATGGAGGGGTGAGTGCTCCTCAGCTCCCAGGTGAAAATGCAAAGCAAATCCAGATAATGATGGTGACATTCGATGAAATCATCTGTCTAAACCAGATGAACAAAACACCTCAGCAGAGTCACTCAGCATCTGTCTCTGTCAACAGAAATGGACTTTCTCATGTTCTGGCTTTTTATAACAGACACTAGCAAATCTTCTTGTAGCATAAGGAAAATGTAGTAGGTCAAGCAAAACCAAAATGGATTTGCTGGCCAGTACTATGTTGCTGATCCCTAAAAATATGTCATCATTATTTTTGAGTTCTTGACCCACAAAAAAAAGGAAAAAGTGTCTCCCAATACTACCAGCCTGGGGAGGAGGCTAAAGACAGACCACG